ATGAATCTCATGGTCAGCTCTTCCACGGGGTCGGTTTGACGGAGGTACCGACCACGTTGCGATTCTGTAATCAGACCTACGGAGCTCTATAACAACAGAGGGACATTAAATTTTGATCATTCATCGCCCGATGAGACTTGCCTGGGCAAGATCGCCGTGTCCATGGAGTCCTCTTGCAAACAGAACGACGGGGAATGGACAGAAACACTTATTCGCATACCTCGAGGTAAAATTGTATTTATCCGAACATGAAGTCTTTGAGAACCCTGCATGAATTCGTTTCAAAGTTTGTCTCAATAATCTCGATTCCCGTGCAGTAGTGCGCCATCAAGCGAACGTTGCGCACGAAACAAACTCATAATCTTCCGATAAAGCTCTGCTCAATTTGATGAGATTTTCGTGCAGTTACTAATCTTTTCTAACCAAATCAGCTCGTCATCTGCTCACATCTGCCCATCATGACCGAAGTTTCGATTAAATCGGAACGATGTGCTCTGAAAAAACATCTGAAGTTCCTCTTGGGGTGGAATCTCAGTTCTCTTAAATGCAAAGATTACGCGTATCTGTAATAACCCATCAAAGGCTAAAACTGCAGTATTGTGGTAAAAAGATCAAACCCACAGGGACAGAGGCAACACACAGAGTAAAAAGTGTCACGTTTAACAGACTTTTGTAGAGTTTGAATTCTCAGACGACTGTCACTCCCAGAAATATTGCAGTGCTCGACTCGGAGGATGCTCGACTCGGAGGTCACTCGGAGGATGCTCGACTCGGAGTATGCTCGGAGTATGCACAGTGCAGCGTAGTCACTCAACACACACACACACACACACCTGGAACTGGAAAAGCACAACTCGGAGGTCGGTCAGGACCTCCGCTTAGGATTTCAGGGGGAAAGTATCTCAAAAGTTCACTCAAAGGCTTTGCAGGTAGTGACTCCCACTCCGGCTTTTACAGCCCTTCCGCCAGGAACTAGCGTAGGGAACCCGGACTGGACTTCCCACTTCGGAACGAAGTCCCTCATACGCCGTGGACGTCACCCTCGACTCACACCAAGCGCATAGAGTACAGGCCCGATTGAGAACTCAACTGAGACACAATCCAGTAACACACACACACAACCTGAATTGCAAACCAAGGCTTACACGAAGTAACAAAACTTCACTTTGGCATTCAGGGGAAACTTTCCGTAGGAGTACAATCAGGATATATCACTCGAAGGAGTAAGGGGGAACTGTTCAAGTCTCTAACTCGCAGCCGGCTCTGAGCATCAGAAATCACCCGCAGGTGCAGATCCGCACTACTCAAGTCTCTAACCGGGTACTAGCTCTGAACATTCAGCCGAAGGCCTTCAGCTACAACATACGGTAACTTCGCTATGCTGCAGCTTCTCTACGTGGTGCCATGACCAAATGCACAAACACGCCAAGAAAGTGAGTTCCTGATCTGCACTTCCGAAATTGGAAGAGTCCCAAGGCAAAACGCCTTAATCTACTTTATACTCTCTAAGGTCCTAACTAACACTACGCTACCCGCTAGGGTGCGAGCCGCACAGATCCTACACCTAAGGAGTCGGCGGCTGCCTTCCCCTCTAACTTACAACCTAAATCTGAATCCAAAGCCTTCTGTACAGAGCCGCCAGCGTCTTTACATCCAAGATCTGAGGCTGAAAATTTGCAGGCATGCGTGGCCGACTGAGATCAATGGCCCCACCAAATTTCAGATCCATCCGACCGTCCATCGCAAAGATATGGACTCCGCAAGATCTCTGAACCGCATCCGGTTCGCCTGGACCTCGAGTTCGCCGACCCCAAGTTCGCCAACTCCGAGTTTGCCGACTTGAAGTTCGCCGACCTCGAGTTCGCCGACCTCAAGTTCGCCGACTCCAAGTTCTCCGACCTCGAGTTCGCCGAAGGCGTTGACCGCCGAAGACGCACTTCCGCACCTTTGCCTATTTGTAACAGTCACTCCCGACACCCATAACTCACAGATCCTTGATCCGTTTCAAGAGTTCTTGGGCTCGTTGGAACGAGCGCGTCGAGTTCTTTCTAACGAGACCCTAACTGAGTCAAACCGTTACAAGATGAAAGAGTTATGCCGGTTTTATCCTTCGCCGAAGGCACACTATCGAAGGCTTGTTATCTGTTATCGCTGAAGGCGCCCGCACGATGTTTCGCCGACTCCGAGTTCTCCGACCTCGAGTTCGCCGACCTCAAGTTTGCCGACTCCGAGTTTGCCGACTTGAAGTTCTCTGACCTCGAGTTCGCCGACCTCAAGTTTGCCAACTCCGAGTTCTCCGACCTCGAGTTCGCCGACCCCGAGTTCGCCGACTCCAAGTTTGCCAACTTGAAGTTGACCCGAAGACGTCCGTCGCCGAAGGCGAACATCTAGGGCCGAAGGCGTATATTCTGCCGACGACGAACTCCTTCCGCCTATCCGTAGGCGTTCTCCTTCGCATCTTCCGACAGTCACAACTCCCTGATTCCTCATTTGTTCCAGGCGTTCTTGGGCTCGTTAGAACCAGAGCGTCAAGTTCTTTCCAACGAGACCCTAAGTAACTCAAGGCGTTAAAAATTGAGGAAGTTATGAGTGATCTACCGCCGAAGGTGCTCGACGCGAGTCCTGCAGCGTGAACCGCCCGTTCCATTCCAAGCGTTCCACTGTGGCCTAAGCCCAAAACCCCTTGACTGTCCTCGATCCTCTTTATACTCTGGCTTTGCGTACCGATTACTATTTACAGCTGCTACCACGGTACTTACTAATCAAAAATGTTTTAGTTCCGGCAAAAAACAAAAAGTGGGTTACCATAGTATCTCTACTAATGACGTGTTTAACATTTATTGCTTGTGGTATATTGTAACTTCCATGAAGTAATGTAAATGTTCCACGCTGCTTGCTTTAGTTTTGTACAAGTTCTCTTCGGTTGATCATCTTTTCATGAGTTTCCCCTATGATTGCTAATTGCTGCATAATCTGCAGACTCTCAGTACATAGTCGGCACCCGTTGAACACTGTAAGTTCTTTGGAATAATTATATCCTTCATTAGGGACAGTTAATGCAATAGCATGAATGAGTAAGGACTATAACAAATACTCCAGTCATCATTCTATTATGGGCTGATTGCTATATACACGTGCGCATATCGTTTAGCCCAGATATTCTAAAGACGCTGACATGTCTATATTGATTTTGAACGTTCTTCGATACCTTAAATCCATGAAGTTGTCAAGGCTTTATGTTGCCATCACTGGTATCATGATGCTTGGATCAATTCTATCTTATCCATATGATGCAGAAAGATCCAATGATGACACTGATCTGGATCTATAGCTGATGAGCTCTGAAATACAGAGTGTTTATGATATTTTTTTAATAATTTCTTTGATTCATCAAAGCATCTTTTATGAATGTAAAATTATTTTAGTTTATAAAGATTTAAAACAATTTTAATTTTTCGTTATTTTTTAATACTTAAAATAAGAAAAAAAAATATTTCCTATTTATATTTGATATCTTTACTAAAGTATTATAATAAAATAATTTTATGCATTTACATTAAATATCAATTTAAACTCTCAAGTCTGACTATAATGTCTGCCAAAGAATTCAAGCTTCTAATCTACTCTGAAATTAAGTGTAAGTGATTAAACATCTCTCCCATGAGATGTGGAGCTTATGATTGAAAGTGTGGAAATTGGTAGAATCCTTGTCGGTCAAGATCACGGCGAAACTTCTTTCTATTAGTTCATTTCCTTGTTTTAGTAAGGAGTGAACCTATTTTCCGTTTACGACAACACTGGTGTTGGCAACAGATTTACAACGTGTTCAACGCGTTGACTGGATCCTGCCACTATGTTTTATCTTGATCTCTGCGTCACTTGCACGTACGAATCTCAGGGTTAGCTGTCATGCTTAATCATGGCAACAGTAAGTACCATCATTCTCGGTCTCTCGTGCAGTGAAAACACCGAACAGTTATCAACGATGTAAATAGAATGTTCTGTCTTCAGATTAAGACTTAATCTTAAGTGGTTCGACGTCACTTCGTGGTGTTTTCAGTCACATGCCATGACGCAGGTTGTCTATAATGGGTTCGGGACTTGGATGTACGTGCTAGTACCTGACCGTATTTTGCATATTTACGCTTAATCTTAATAATCCAAGAGTATCTGGAAGTGTCCACTAAAGGATATCGTCACTTTCGGACGATCATTTAGCCTCATGGTAATTCATTACATATAAACCCTCTAGCCGATTCAGGCCTCTGATTAGTATGCCATGTAGAAACAGTCAGTCTTAAGCAACGTCGCCTCCTTTCAGCCGTTAACCTGTCTGTCGCATTTTTTCACGAGCATGCTCTTGATATATCTAATTCTGAGTTCTAATACTTCAAGAATTTCTCCTCTTCCTAGAGGTCTAGAATATTGAACCTGAGATGTTGTTCCTTACTCCACTCTTGAAATCTGACCATAAATACCACGAACTGCCACATGTTCCTAGAAACAATTCAGAGTCAGTGTAACACAACTGACTTTACAAAGGCAGAGATCTACCTTCTGTAGTGGAACCTTGATTTCTTATGAGATTCTCAAAGGTCTTCCCTCGATGTCTTCGTACGGCACTTAAGTAGGCAGACTGTCCCTGCTTCCCGAAGATAATCTGGTTTTCCTTTTTCTATTGGCGTTGCGCATAACCGACTACATCAAAATCCATTCAGCCATTCCCCACAGCAGCACAACACACTCAGATCCAATCCTTGAGAGGGGAAATTGTGAGCCCCGTTACTCGGCATTAGATTCTGGAGTCAAGAGCATGGTGGCTCAACACAGATGAGTAGCTGGACCCCACAAGCCCTTGATTGAGCTAAAGCCTGGAATTGTGCACAGTTATCAGTTAATTCTCGTTGTTGCGGAATAATCGTCCGCGAGACTCAATGTTCCTGGCCGAGCTCACTATAAAAGTGGCATCTCCAGACTCCATCTCCCAAGTTCAAGTCTTGTCCCAAAGGGCAAGCTTGTCATTTTCATCAGACCCACTAACAGTCGTCGGTTGTCTCATAAGGGCCTGAGGTCGCCACTGAACACAGTGTGCTCGCAGTCGAGCTCTCCACATATGATCTCCATTGAGTTGGGTTTATTGAGGTTCGATGAATTTTTGTTCCAGATTGGACTTCATAAATTCGCTTCTGATTTTGAATCTTTAGGCTTTCAAAAAATTCAGAGATTGAAGCACACATCTGTGTGAGTCATTACTTGAATACAACAAGGTAGTCCTGTTTGTATAATATCTGAAAGCTCACTGAAGAAATGCAGTCTTTTCGTGCCAATTTATTTGAATGGTTGCAGAGAGTGAACATAAGCATTAGAGTTGGACATAAATTACAGGGATCAACAGAATGTCTTTCTAAAACGCGATTCTGGTTTCAGCGAATTCAGTTTGTCGCGTATGAGGACATATTATGACAGAATCTAATTCAGGCACTAATACTTTACTTCATCCTCTTGCACAGGAACCCAAACAGTATGGCCAAGGGAATGATCCCGTCAAGGTCAAGTTTCTTCTCGACGGATCGGATTCCACAAACCTTGCTCCGAGGGCAACAAGGCTGGGGAAGAAGCAATGCTTTGGAGAACGGTCCACAGTTGAAGTGGGTCGCCTACATCTGCGTCTCTGTGTTATGCTTGCAAGCCCTTCTCGGAACGGTCGACGCAGATCCAGTACTTGCGTCCAGTCTGGGCTTCTGCAAAAATGTTCCAGTGCTCAAGGGAGCTCCACTGCATTGCTGCCTGCCTGCTCCCAAGAGAACACCCATCAGATTCAAATTTCCTCTCATAAATCGTAACCTCGCCGGTCGCCTGTTTCTGCGCGAGAGGAAACCCGCGCACGTCGTGCAGAAGGACCCCGAGTATGTCAGGAAGTACAATCTAGCTTACGCTAGAATGAAGGCGCTCCCCGACACCGACCCGCGGAGTTTCCTCAATCAGTGGAGGGTCCACTGCTCCTTCTGTAACGAGGCCTTCAAGCAGCGAAAGACTCCAGGCCCTCTGGGCCCTGAGACCGGCGTTCCGCTGCAGGTTCACTACAGCTGGAAGTTTCTTCCGTGGCATCGGATCTATCTGTACTACCACGAGAGAATTCTCGCCAGTTTGATCAACGATCCCACCTTCGCCCTCCCCTTCTGGAACTGGGACAACCAGCTGGACCAGGACGCGGCGATGATCCCCGCCATGTTCCTTCCCAACTTCAGCGTCCCCAACGCTGCCCTCTTCGACGAGTTCAGAAACCCCAACCACATGCCTCCCAAGATCTTGCACCTGGGATACAACTCCAAGCTCGAAGCAGAGGGCAAGCAGAACCTGACCGACAAGCAGATCAGATACGAGAACCTGTGCGTCATGTACAACCAGGTGGCCACGAAGATCAGCGCTCGAGACTTTCTCGGCGGACCTTACGTCGTCGGGACTGATAACTCCGCGGCGACCGTCAACGTCAGCGCCGGTGAGGTTCCCGGAGAGTCCGGTGGCATGGAGAATGCCCACAACGTCGCTCACGAGTGGACAGGGCTCATCAACGACCCCAATCACCCCGACAACGAGGACATGGGCAATTTCATCTACGCCGCTCGGGACCCCATCTTCTACAGTCATCACTCCAACGTCGACCGCCTGTGGGACGTGTGGAAAACCATCCCCGACAAGGTCACGAAATCCGGTAGCAGGAAGAGAATGGATTACACTTCCAGAGACTTTCTGGACACCGAGTTCACTTTCTACGACGAAAATCAGGACATGGTGATCGTCAAGGTGAGGGACAGCCTCGACAGCTCCAAGCTCGGGTACAAGTTCACGGACGTGAGTAAATCTGACAATATGTGGATATACTACGAGCCCATGCCTCCCCATCAGTCGTCCGGGCCAAGCAATTCCAGTGACTATCCTGCAGCAGCTCCATCAGGATACAACTACATCGGCACGGATCCTGTCAGTTTTAGGCTGGATCGTCGAGCTCCGACGAGCGAAGATGCTGGGCAGAGCGGGGTGAAGAATGTGGATCAGTTGCAGGAGAACGTCGTGCTGGAGAAGGTGAAAATCCCGCATTCGGAATACGCCAGATTTGACGTGTTCATCAATTACCCGGCAGCTAACAGGCAGACGCATCTGTACATGTCGGAGTACGTGGGTACGTTCACGCATCTACCGAGTGGCATGGTTGACATGAGCAAATCTGTGTCGGAGTCGTCCAGCAACTCAGACGAAGAGTTCCGAATTGTGACTATCCGGTACTCCGTGAACGCCGCTCTGAAACGACTGGGCATCACAGATTACAACACGGACATCGTAGTGACCATAGTCTCAAAGGGCGCGAGGAACACCGGACCAAAGACCGGGTTCACATTCTCCAACCTCAAACAAGACTTCCAGTAACTTTGAAGAGAAGGCTTTAGATTTAAATCTTCATCACTGAAGTATAAAGTTGGTTTCTAATTGAGTTCTAAGTTTGATATTCAATTGAGTAGTTCATCATTCAGCAATACTATTTGCAGTTTAATTCTAGAATCACTTACATAGTAGAGCCTAAGGTCAAAACCCCCACGCATGTGGATCTTTGACAAAATGTTAGATTACTTCGAGATCATAGACATTCGTGCACGTTGGTGCAATAAAAGAACTAATAGGTTCTCTCTTTCAAGAAAGTTGAATCCTATTCAGTTGATTATTTCTTCTACGGAATTTTTTTATCCATTGCGCAGAACAAACCATATTATTCAAATAATAGCTGTACTTGACTTGGTAATTTCTCTTAGCATATGATTGTTAAAAATTGTAGCATACAAAAACCAATGTATACGTTTAGTGTAGCGTTCACAAAAGTAAATAGATCACTTGACATTTAGACACTTAGACACAGAAATTCTTTTCTGCCTTTTTAAAATTTTGCTTTCGGAAAAATAATACAGTTTCATCTAAAAATTATTTTTTTACCATTTTTTTTAATATACATATTCCTGTATTCAAAATCCAAATAATCCATTCTAATGAGTCACTAATTAATTTAAAAATTTACGTAGTTCACAAATTGAAATGTTAGTCTTGGAATAGATATTCCATTTAAAAATTCAACTTGTTCTTCTTATCCGTTTAAAACTTCAAATCGGTGACTATTTTATTTTTCATGTTATTCGAAATTTAATTTTTATACAATATGAGTTTATTTTTAATTTTGAGAAAATCATTGAAAAAAATTGTAACTTATATGATAATTATTAAATATAAATGTGTACATAGTATTAAATACATTCGCATTCATTACTAGATTGTGTGTTTTATTTTCAAGTGGATGATTTTTTACTATTTAATGCTATGATCGCACTAGAGTAAAAAAAATATTTTGCTTAGTTGTCAATGTACTAAACTCATCTAGAATTATGACAAGATTGTTAAATGCAATAACAAACTTTCATCAAAATGAAGAATTTAGAATACAACATGCTATAATTTTGGCCAAAAAAATTCACTGGTAACTTTTTTTCGTGCATCCAAAAACAAAGAACATACAAAGTTGAAAATTAACAAAAAACGTATTAAAATAAAAAAAAAACTAACTGATTATTATAGAATTGATCATGTACGCACACAGGATGAGATGTATGATTCATTCATAAAATGACATAAAATTTATTCTCACGAAATTTTATAATGAAATAAAGATTGATATTAATAAAATAAAGAAGAGAAAAAAATATAATTATCAAACGTCAAAACTAAAACAATAGAATGATTATCACACAATGTGAATTATATATAATGAAAATCAAGAAAAAATTAAATGGAAAGTAAATTGTTTAGCTCGATATAATGAATATTGTGATGCCTTGGATTATATGATACAAATCGAAGATACACCTTATAAACAATAATTAATAACAGATTAGAAATTTATTTATCTTTGTGATTTGTAAAGAATATTTTTCAACAAATTCTTTATATTTCTTAAATCTTACAATATGTATTTTTGGATCCATTGACAAACAGTATATTTTGCATTATTTGAAATATATTATAATTAGTTTGAATTGAATTAAAATTTATAAAAAATGATCATAGATTTAATTTATGATGTATAATTAAAATTTTTCATATCATTGATTCATGTGCTTGGTAGAAGATAAATAACTGTGTTACATTTGTTTGTTTTATCAAAATATACTAAGTGCGTCACTTAATGTATGTGTTAGTTAAGAATAGCAATTCAACAATTGTTTGATTTATTTGTCATGTGATTGATCCAATATGTAAGTAAGTGAGATCTTTAAAAAAGATTTATGATGATCAGATGTACATAAGGAAAGATAGAACTATTTGAAGTATTTCTCATCTTTATCTCATCTGCCTTATTTTCAAGTGAATTACTCTAGTATTACAGTTCTTAGTTATTTAATTGTCGTCCGATTGTGCTATCTTGCGATTAGAATTTTACTTTTTACCCCATCTATATTTGTATTTGATATTCTTTGCCCACTGGCAATAAATCCGAGATTCATCATTTTTCTTTTCATTTCAATGTTGAGTTCCTATTTCATTCTTCCTACTCCCAACATAACTTTAGAATTTTTTCATTTTGAAATTTGGATATTTTTGTTTCTTGTTATTTCTTTTTTTTTATACGTTGGTTATGTTGTAGTTTTTTTTTTTCCCAAAATTGTAGCAACATTGCAAAAATTATATCTTTTTATAGATATATCTTTTTACCATTTTGCAACGAGACATTATCATTTCTTCTGGTTTAGTGTTATTTATATGCGTGCCTCGTGTAAGAATCTTCTAAACATTTAGCTAATTATTTTCATAGCAATATGTGTAGCGTAAGAGTATCTTCATAGAGTATATTCTCACTAATTTGATAATCTTTGTAGTAGTTTTTTTTCACATTATTCTAAGTATCTTCATAACAATATATTCTCCCTAGTATGAGTGTTTTTTTAAAACAACATATTTCCACTAGTAAACAAACTTCACTAGCAGTTTTTATCTCATTTGTATAGCTTCAAAGTAACTCTTTCTCACCGCGTATGTATCTTTATAGCATGATATTCTCACTTGTATAAACATCATTGTAACAGTATATTCGAATTCAGTAGTTTCATATTCGAATCAGCTTTTACTCACTATTCTTACAATTTCGGGTTTACACTTTTCCTTTACACTTAATTTATACTTGTATGAAATCTTTTTAGCAATGCTTCCCGTAACTTTGAATCTATTCGCACTAATCCTTATGATTCATTCGGGTACATTCATACCAACAACATTCAGACTTTTGAGCACAGTCACATACTTTGCCCTTCTTTCATTTAATAGCCGTGTTATCACACAACAGCCATCCTAGTGGGAGTGATTGGTTTTTAGATGTGCTGGTGACCTTGCGGGCGGTACCGGTTTGTGTTGCTCTTGAAGACTATAATGAATGTCGCCTGGCATTTTATGTGCAGGTTTCATCTAGACTAAGCCATGCAGACGCAAAAGCTAAATCCAAGATGTGTGAAAGATGGGAGTGTTTGGGTTCGGATCTTGGAGACGGTGAAACAACACAGAATCTAGTGAGTGCGTGAATTTCCAAGGTCGAGGCATATATAGGAAGCCAATCTCATTTTTATAGAGATTCAGAACGCAGGAACAAATGCGAACCAGGAGGAGTGGCTTTTCTCGTCAATGTGTACTGATCTCACAAGGAGCGGAAGAACTTGAAAATGCCAGAACGAAGAACAGGAGGCTAAAATCTTTGTCGGACTGGAGAGAACTGGTGCAGTCAGAGAACGCAGTTGGAAAACTGACAGTGGAATACTCAATCTGCCTGATCTTGTGCCGAGGAGAGACTTAGATCAATGCAACAATTGAAAACCGAGAATGGCGGGCACTTGACAGCAACACACCAATACGAGAACGTGAAGACGGCGGCGATCGAATATAGCACACAAATACGAGATCGTGAAGAGAAACATCTACAACAGTATAGGAATGGAAGACCGAACGACGAATGCGGCCAAACTCCAATCGAGGCGTCTAGCAACACATTGAACGTAAACTCTGGAAGGTCGTTGCAGGAAGAAAAGCTTCGAGCTTACTCGAAGAACACAAGAACAAGGCAAGGAGTCCGAGCCAGGTACATTGACTCCCGACAGTAGAGCGCAAGTACGAGGCTGAGAAGAGCAACATGGACGAAGCAAGTTTGCAGAAGAAATGAAGAGGCATCGACGACCAGAATCGAATGCGGAAAGTTTCAAGTTGAGGCTCGAACATTTTTCTACAAATCCGATGTGAACGCAAACTGGGAGAGCGTGGTTTGCAGAAAAGCATCAAACTTTATCGAGAAAAAACGAAAGACGGCACTTTAGTTTTCCAACAAGTGCCTCTCCGTCTAACATATGAAGTTGATACATGGATAATATATTCACTTTTAAAAGTTGTGCAGGATTGCCATTAACCCAAGAGATGCACGGAAACAACTTGTACTTTCTGCTCTCTGAACACATTTTGAATAATGTTGTCCGTCGTCTTTATTGGATCATATATCGTTGAATGAATTTTATCTAAATCTAAACTAATGAATAAGTTTTCATGATTACGACTGTCCCTACTTCGAATCGGGCAGGGCACTCTCAGTCCTAGTCTTGTGAGGTGAGATATGAAATAATCTCTAAGATACACATTCAAAGAAAAACATTTGTGAAAACAAAGTATCAACAACTAAGATTAGTTCAGACACCTGCGACTGAGCTTGTGTAGGACGCCAATGCTCTTCGAACCTACTGGAAGTCTTGTTTGAGGTCGGAGAACGTGAACCCGGTCTTCCGGCCGCTGTTCCTCGCGCCCTTTGAGACTATGGTCACTATGATATCAGTGTTGTAATCTGTGATGCCCAGTCGTTTCAGAGCGGCGTTCACGGAGTACCGGATGGTCACAATTCGGAACTCGTCATTTGAGTTGCTAGACGACTCCGACACAGATTTGCTCATGTCCACCATGCCGCTCGGTAGATGCGTGAACGTACCCACGTACTCCGACATGTACAGATGCGTCTGCCTGTTAGCTGCCGGGTAATTGATGAACACGTCAAATCTGGCGTATTCCAAATGCGGGATTTTCACCTTCTCCAGCACGACGTTCTCCTGCAACTGATCCACATTCTTCACCCCGCTCTGCCGAGCATCTTCGCTCGTCGGAGCTCGACGATCCAGTCTAAAACTGACAGGATCCGTGCCGATGTAGTTGTATCCTGATGGAGCTGCTGCAGGATAGTCACTGGAATTGCTTGGCCCGGACGACTGATGGGGAGGCATGGGCTCGTAGTATATCCACATATTGTCAGACTTACTCACGTCCGTGAACTTGTATCCGAGCTTGGAGCTGTCGAGGCTGTCCCTCACCTTGACGATCACCATGTCCTGATTTTCGTCGTAGAACGTAAACTCGGTGTCAAGAAAGTCTCTGGAAGTGTAATCCATTCTCTTCCTGCTGCCGGATTTCGTGACCTTGTCGGGGATGGTTTTCCACACGTCCCACAGGCGGTCGACGTTGGAGTGATGACTGTAGAAGATGGGGTCCCGAGCGGCGTAGATGAAATTGCCCATGTCCTCGTTGTCGGGGTGATTGGGGTCGTTGATGAGCCCTGTCCACTCGTGGGCGACGTTGTGTGCATTCTCCATGCCACCGGATTCTCCGGGCACCTCTCCGGCGCTGACGTTGACGGTCGCCGCGGAGTTATCAGTCCCGACGACGTAAGGTCCGCCG